TTATTTGTTTTTGCCGGTGCTGACGACACGGCACCTTATCTTTACTTAAAATGTTGTGTTCGTTGCAATGCAGCAGGGTACTGCCAAGATTCTTTCTTGTAATAGAACTTGCATGTTTGTGTTCTTTTATTTGTATGCGTTCGCTCCACTCCTGCTACAGCCTCGATGAGGCAAGCAGTATTAGCAAATAAAAAAAATAAAGAAATTGATGGCAGCGCGCAAAATGCGATTTTTGGAAAGGGTTATAGTTAACTGAGAGGCAGACGGCCATATTCCCCAAGCAGTAGTTTTTTACCCAATAGTTTTGGTGGGCCAATTTAGTTTTTCCATGGCTCGTTAACCCATTAGCCCATTAATGCCCATTAACTAGATCAAAACTTGATAATCATTGAATTCAGCCTCGGCATTCGACCCTCAATCGTCAAACGACTGCCACCAGTCATACTTAACTGCCTGGTCGGCTTGTCACCTGGAATCTTTTGGCTTCAGTTTCAGAGTAAGGGCCAGAATAAGGCTTCTCTTCTAATTGTTCTGTTGCCTCTTGGCATCTGTGTGCCTAAATCGCCAAAGAAGTGCCACCGTTAGGACTGATTGCCGGGTTGTTCGGTTGACATCCTGGCATCATTGGAGAACAGTCGCCGTAAAAAGGGCAAGAATACGGCTTACTGCTGGTTGTTCGCCTGTCACTCGGCATTCTTGGCTCATGTCTGTCACTTCGAAAATATCTTTTCGCACCAGAAAAAAGCCAGGCTTGACATTTCTCTGGCTAGCTAGGGCCCAAAGTTATAGTACCTCGGGCCTGTCTAAAGTCCTGGAGAAAAACCTTATTAGGCTCAAGTATTAACCTTAGGATTGCCAAGCTTGGAGTTTGAACAAGTTGTGCTTTTCCCTTGTGTGATACCTGGCCCCGTCTTTTACCATTCCACTGCATGCTTTGCTTCGTATGATAAAAAATCTGAGTTTACGTATGCATTAAAGAAATGGTAATGAGTACCACCTCCGAATGTGTGAGATGTGAAATATCTCTAGGGAAAGAAATTTCGCTTCACGGATCTCATCCGCGCCGACGTCGTCGATGGCCAAGGAATGGGAGGAATCCAGCCCCTCACCTTTGTCCGCCAGGTAAGTACCCTGCATGTATGAGGTGTGATCAAAAAGTTCCGAGACTGATTATGTAGCTTAGAAAGAGAGGACAGCACAGTAAAGGCCTGTTCACACATACAGCGGAGCGTTAAGTTAGCGCTACGTGAGCGCTCCAAGGAGCGCTCACGTAGCGCTAACTTAGCGCTCCGCTGTATGTGTGAACAGGCCTTAATGCGCGCGCACCTGTCGAAGACAGGGGCCTTCGTGTCTCGTTATACCAAAGGGCGTCGCTCTGTGAACATTTGGAGCTGCGAAGACGAGTTTTTTTGACCACGTGGGCGGGCACCATGGCGATTTAACCCTAGACTGCAAACCAGAGAGAGAGAGAGAGCGAACATAATTTTTTAGTCAAACTCGGCGAGTATTAACAAAGACCGTTGAAATGATTCAGCAGGCTTGTGTCGAAAAGCAGTGTGTTTTGCGAAGTGTTTTAAATGGCATTCGCGCTTCAGGAACGGCAGTATATCGCTGGAAAACTAAAAGCGGTAAGGCGACCTTATCCGACCTCTCCTTGACTTCAGTGACGCTCTGCTCTGCTTGAAAAACAAAACGTTGCACAGCCACGTGCTTCCGGTAACTTTTTCCTCCTCTATATTTCTTCTTCCTCCCCAGTCCAGTTTTCATTTTGGTTCCGGGCAGTTGCGTTTTTTGACTTTATTAAATATATACGTGACACTGTAGCAAAATATTGCTAGGGTAATCTTTTAACACCATCATAGATCGCCTGGCAAAATACAAACCAAAGTTTTTGGGGGTGTTAGTGTCCCTTTACGAAACAAGTGCTTTTGCTGTCTTCTCCACCTGAAGTCACTCATAAATCCCACAAAGGGGGCTTTTCTCCTTCATCCACTCAACCACCCCCCCCCCCTCCCCGGTCCACCCGTCGTCGGTGGTGCGCTGAATGTCTCACTATAGTCAGTTACAGGTGAAGAAGGTAGCGGCAAATGCCCCTCAAAGGGAATCAGATATCCCTCCGCCACTTCCGCATCCAATAGCGTCCCACCGTTTCCGTGACGTCGCGGCCAACGCGCGAGGAGGGTCTTGCCTTTCTGTACATATTTGCTTTATCTTTCGACTTTGACTTAGCATTGTGGAAGCCACGAGAGGGAGATTAGAGTTCTCCCCCACCGACGGAAACAAATACGACTTTCGGGGATTAGCTTCCCCCCCCCCCATGGATACAAAGGCTGCTTTCAGGGGCTCGGTTTCCTCTCCGATGAATACAAAGGTCGCTTTCTTAAAAAGTGGGGTCGGAGACAAGTGGGAATCCATTGAAGCGGAACAAGGAGAGTTTCCAGTGAACTCTTCTTTCGACTGCGGAGAGATTTGAAACAGGCGCATCACACTTGTGGGAGGAGCTTCTCCTACCTTCTTGACTTGTAACCGACTATAGTATCGTCTAAGGATGTTAGTATCGTCCACACCGGGCGTTTACCAACCAAGCCACAATATGGGACCACAGGAACGCGGCAGGCGGAACCCGTTTTTCTTTTATATAACTGCTGTCTTCCACTTTTGACCGGAAACGTGCGGAAGTGTTTGGATGAGGAGTGAATGGACAGCGCGCCGGAGCGCTGGAAACGAAAAGCTTGAGCTGGAAAAAAAAAAGGCAAAGTTTGTGGGATTTTTGCTTTTTAAGCGTCCCTTTGTCCTTCTTCTTTCGTGAGGTTCCCGAGAAGCGACCGACGAAGTTATACACCCCGCTCCCCGCCCCCTTACCCCACCCCAGCCCGCTCAAGGTCTGCGAGGGGGTTGGACTGTCTTCCCCTGATTGGCCGAGGAGCTCTTCGGGGCTGGATAAAGCTCAATATATTCAACTTTAGACCCTCAAAGCGGCAACTGGAAAGCGTCTCGTTGATGTCACCTTTGACGTTACTCCTCTCTTCCGAATTTCTTCGGAACCCGTTTGGTGGCTTGATTCGGACCGCCCTTTACATCTCCCCGATTGTTCCGGACGAGGTTCGGCGGGTTGGTTTGGACCGCCTTATAGCAGAAAACAACGAGCTGCCTTCTGCCAAAAAACAAACAAAAAAACTTCTTGAATGAGTGGATGCAACACAAAGAACGTGGAATCCAAAACCCGTTGTATGAGGAGTGGCTAGAGGACGGGATTGATGTATATCGAATACGTTCTCGGGTGTTTTGGACGGCATGTGCAACAGCGCAAACCACCAAGTTAAGCGATCCCAATGCCACTGGCGGTATCCCGCAGAGCAAAATATGTAAAATTGCCAAGCGCGCCAACAAGACACCCCCATTGCGAGGAGCTCCCTCGTCAAGGCGAGGACTGCGTCTATACAGCCTCAGTAAAAAAACCACACACCCGTATATACCTACGCAAGCGCGGCTGCGACACAGGCGTGACCACGTGATGCCATAACCACGTGATGCACATCCCGGAAAGGAAAGGATATCTCCCCGGTGTGAATATTCGTTCAAAATCCCGCTAAAAAAGCAATAATTGGTTGATTCTTCGCTCGAACCCGGCTCTGCTGAAATTTGTCGGGTGATCGGAAGATGCGTTTTCAGATTCCGCATTTTATTGGCATTCTAGACTTTGTAACTTTTATTCCAATTCAAGCAGTACGATTCATTCGCATGCATATTTGTAATATTGACAATACATTGTAACCCATATTATTATTTCAACTCAAGAGGCGTGCTTTTAACATCCACGCTTGGCATTAGCAAAAGGTTGTGATGTGTGTTCCAGATGGCACTTTCATTATATAAGCTGGCCAGAGCGTTTCCTAGGCCGTCAAACTAACCAGAAAAAATAGGCACCGATACATAAAAAGCTCGAACCTTCACGGAATATGCATTTGGCTGGAGGATTTTAAATTGCGAAATTTCAAGGCGTCCTGTAGAATGTGAGACCAAAAAACTTTTCAGTGTCAACGGCGGACGTGTTCACAGATGACCGAGCAGCGACGACAGTAAGTTGTGGCGTCATCTCCCTATAGACGCAGTTAGCAGACAACAGAGTCTTTCACCTGCTTGCCGTGCCTTTGTCACATTTGTTATCAAACTCGCGTGATCACGTGGGAGCGGCCAATGGCGCCATAAGTTACGTGCATCGTAAGCTTGGACGTCTGCTATCACGTCCAACGTTGACTTTGGCAAGTTTGTAATTTTATTTATTTATTTATTTATTTTTTGCAAAAAAAAAAAAAAAAAAAAAACTATTTCTTGAAATTTCAAAAGATTAGGTGCCCCGCTCCGATGCACATTCAGTGAAAGTTTCAGTACTTAATATGCAGGCACCGATTTTTACGGTTCGTTTTGCTGCGTAAGAAACATCTACCGTTTACTTTCGGGACACACGTGTCCAAGTTGTGCTCAAATTCCTACTGCTTCAGAAGCGCACACTGCGGCGATCCGGCCATGCGGTACCCTGCCAACACCACCTAGAAGGCCTGCTTACTCTTCTCCATAACGTGACACTAAAGATCTGATAAAGGGCAGCGCTAATTTTGATTAGTTTCCTCTCTCACATTTGTTATCAAGTTCGCGTGACCTTGTTGGAGCGGCCAATGGCCATCGGCGTAGGATTACGGTTGGTGTTGCGGGGACGGAACACTAAGGGCTTTGGATCAAGGTGGCGTTGATCCAGCCCCCGTTAGAGGGGTTGCACTTGAAGTACTCCCGGCTTGAAATCTCGCGGGGACGCCATCTTGATGAACTTTCGCCCGATGTCTCTATGTGCGGAGGCAGTGTTTTAGCGCTCGCTTTAGCTGTTACTTGCCATGGTAGACTGCAACTTGATAATGTGGGCAAACTGACTAAAACCAAACAAAAAATGTCATGATTTTTTTTTTTTTTTTCAGCTTGTTGCAGCCTGCGCGATGCCCCAGCTTATGGAAGGCAGCCAGCTTCCCAGTGACGTCGTATCGAGGGCTCGTCTGATCCTCGACCACTGTCCCGGCCACAGCCTCGGTGAGGCCCTGATGAGAACACGGAAGCCGGACCATGCCGTGATAAGAAAAACACTGTGTTCATAAGCTCGAGTTTCTCTCTTAAGAAACCAAAGTGACGGATTGTGCTCACAAGTGGCACCGGCTCGAGTGGTGAAGTTTGGAATCGGACGCTAAAGCCGCATACACACGCGGGACAATTCCCGAAGATTTCTCCCTGGCATGTAGTCCTCCCCAAAGGGAGGAACGGTCTTGTAACCTTTGTTCCTTCAGAAAGGAAGAAACTTTCGTCCCTGCATACAGGGGAGCAAAGTTCCTTAGTCGTCAGCATCTCATTATGGCGGCCCCAAATTGAGCAAATCGACCTAAATAGAGCCTAACGAGGACGCTACGTCTATTTTACGGGGTAAGAGGAGCAGAAAATAAAGGCGTAACACGAGCTTTCCGCGGACTGCATTTATTTCCGAAGCCAGCTTCCTCCGCAAGTAAAGAATTTTTCGTTTCGAAAGCAGCCGCTCGGTCTCCTCGTTGTCAGCGCTGCGATGTTAAACGGAGACAACCGATACCCAGTTATATCGCGCACTTAATTTTTTATCTTTGCTATTCCTCCAACTACAATTTGTTCGTCAGCACCGCACATGACGGAGGAGGGGTAAACTATTCGCCACACCAAAAGCCGCTCTCAAAAGAGCGAATTCGAAGAAGCCTAGTTGGCTCATTGTTCCACGGTAACCAGAAATCATCGCGAAGTGTGAAAGAAGGTTAAATCGCTCGCCACCAGATGGCAGGATCAAGCGGAGTAATTGGAGAATGGGAGGGTAGAGTTCGGAAGATTGAGGCCCAGCTTAAGGCAGAAGGAGAGAAGCGGGTCGGTCTCGAGGCCCAGGTAGAGGAGCTGACTAGGCAGCTTAATCATGAGAGGGAGAAGCGGGTCGGCCTCGAGAAGCAGGCGGAAGAGCTGGGGGAAGTATGGAAGGCGGGTTTAGAGGAACGTAAGAGGGAGTGTGACAGTAGGGTAGAGCGCCTGGAAGGGGTAATTCGAGCGAGTGAGAGTAGCGAGGGAAGAAAGGAGGAAGTGTCAGTTCTAGCGGGACGAACCACCAGTCTGCAGGCTGGGGTCCCTGGTGGTCGGGAGTCCGGCCTGTTGGCAGGCGGGCTCGACGACGCTGGAGAGCTGATTGAACCTCAGCTCAATGGCGCCTTCGAGCAGCAGGCGTCGGGCAGTCAGGTGACAGGAGATAAGTCGCAGGACAAAGGCGCGCAGGCACCAGGGGGATCTAGGGTACTGGTAGTGGGGAGCTCTAACGTAGCACGGGTTAGGAGGGGTGTACATAACAGGGTGAAGGGAGACCAGAGGGTAACCGTAGAGGTCCAGCCAGGGAAGTGTATGGTGGATGCTATGACCGCAGCTCGTGAGGGGGTGTGGGATAACCGGGAGGGAAGGAACCTAGTAATAGTTCATGCGGGGCTTAATGATGTGCTGAAGGGTAGGAGCCAGAACCTCGGAAAGCAGCTAAACGTGGGAATACGTAAGCTGAGGGACGTGTCTGAGAATGTGCACATGGTTGTGTGCACCATTCCAGAAGTTCGGGGGCAGTCCAGGTTAACGGAGAGGAGGGTTGTCGAAGCCAACGGAGTAATTAAGGGTATGAGTCGACAGCTTCGGTATGACGTAATGGAAGTAAACAGAGAAGTGTACGAGGCTGGCTCCCGCCCTTTTGCAGATGACATTCACTACAGTGAGGCCACGGGTTACAGGGTGGGGGATAGGATGGGCCGCACGGTGACTGCTTTTTTGGAGGGACCGAAAGCCCTGGGGGCACTGAAGTAACTGAAAACCCAACAAAGTCAGGAGAGGCACCCAGGGTTAAAAAGAGGAGAAAACGTAAGAACAGGTATAAAAAAACAGCACAATCAGACATTGGATATATTAACATGCAGGGTGGTAGAAATGGGTTAAAATGGGAAGAGGTAGAGGAGCAACTAAGAAAGGAGGATTTAATGGTGTATGGGTTTGTGGAAACACATCTCAGAGACATGGAGCAGCCACCTTGCAACCCTGACTATGTGTGGGAAGAATGCAACAGAATGGAGGGAACGAGGAAGAGAGGTGGAATTGGAGCATTTATTAAGAAGAATATGAACTTTCAAAGGATCAGAAAGGAGTGCGCCGAACATTTGTGGCTGAAAGGAAAAGTCGCTGGGGAATCAACAGTCCTTGGTGCTGTTTACTTATGGACAGGGGCAGGTGCTAAAGAGGAAAACGGAAAAATGATTGATTGCATATCAAGAGACATGTGTGAACTAGGGGAAGGCTCCGAAATAATTATTATGGGAGACATGAATGCCCATATTGAGGGTCTGGATGGGTATACGGACTCAACTGGAAGCATATTACTAGAACTGGTGGAAAAACATGACTTAGTTTTATGTAATACCAGTCAGAAGTGTGATGGGCACATAACTTGGGAAACAGGCAATCTGCATTCAACTACAGATTACGTACTCATGTCACACAAAATATATGGTAAGTTACAAGTAATGAAAATAGATGAAGAAGGTTCCAAAAGTCTTGGTAGTGATCACAAACATATTAAGCTGAATTTTTCCAGAGAAGTAAATGCTGAAACTAAACAACATAATTCAAAGCAAACTTTCTGCATCGACAAAGAGTTGGAAATAGTTGTTGAAAGAATAGAGGCAGCAGTTTCAGGGCAACGGTATACAGATTGGACCTATGAGAGCCTAACTAGGCTTTTTGCTCTAGAACTAGACAAAGTTAAGAGCAAACGAAAGGGGAAGCAAGGACATAGACCAAAAAGTTGGTGGGACAAAGAAGTGAAGCAAGCGATGCAAAAACGTCAGGAAGCCTCTAGAGAACACAGGTATTCCAAGCGTAGTGGGGAGTCCGAAACGGAAGTAAAAAGAAAATGGGACAATTTTATAACATGTCGCCGAGAGGCATCCAGTTTGATCAATGCGAAAATTCAGAGAAAGGGTGAGGAATGGATGAGTAATGTAAGTAAGAAAGATAGAAACGCTGCCAAGAAGTTTTGGGAGCACTTGAACTCACTCGGTGAAACAACGCAAGCTAGACAGAGGTTCATACTCTCGCATCAGGGAGGTCAATTAGAGGGAGATGACGCGATACAATATATAGGAGCAGTGATGGAGGAGAAATTTCGGGAACGGGTACATGTGGAAGATAGGAGGACCGAAGGAAGTAGCGGTCCAGTTTGTGACATCGCCGATTTTGGACAAAGAGAATGGGAAAAGGCGGAACGAAGAGTCCCTAGTGGCACGTCGACAGGCACAGATGGTATCCCTATAAAGCTGGTGAAGAATTTGGGTCCTAAATCTAGAGCAAAACTAAGGGAGGTAGTGAGTACCATGATAACAAAAGGAAATATTCCAGATGAATGGAGGCTTAGTAGGATGAGTATGATATATAAGGGAAAGGGAGATAAGTCTGATATTAGGAATTATCGTCCTATAACCGTGACACCGGTGATTTACAGGTTGGTAATGCAGATTATAAAGAACAGACTGGAGGAATGGGTAGATTGCGAGGGCATACTGGGCGAGTTACAGAACGGGTTTCGGAAACAAAGAAGGTTGGAGGACAATTTATTTTCTCTAACACAGTGTATAGAAATAGCGCAAAAAGAAAACAGACAGCTCTGGCTGGCATTTCTGGATATCAAGGGTGCCTATGACAATGTGAACCAAAGAAACCTGTGGGACATAATGGAGAACTTAAACCTAGATGAAGGACTAACAGCACTATTAAGGAACATTTACAAAGATAACAAGGTGATTATAACATGGGAAGGAAAGGCGACAGGGAAAATAGAGATAAGACGAGGCCTTAGGCAGGGGTGCCCGTTATCGCCTTTGCTGTTCATGTTGTATCTGAGAGGATTGGAGGATAGACTAGAGAAGAGTGGGCTTGGATTCAACCTTTCTTGTGCAGCACTGCTGTACAGTAAGCTAGGCCAAAAAATTCAGCAATCCTTACCGGGATTGATGTATGCGGATGATATTGTACTAATGGCTAACAACAATACAGAGTTGCAGGAATTAATGAGCATCTGTGGTAGGGAAGGAGAGGAATTAGGTTTAGAATTCAGTAGCGAAAAATCAGCAGTCATGATTTTTAACGAGGATGAAGTTGAGAGGCTGAAGATACAGAATATTACAGTTGAGAGAGCTAGTAAATACGAGTATCTAGGAGTATGGATATGTGATGGTGCAGAATATCTCAGCGAGCATGAAAAGTATATAATAGGTAAGGGCAACAGGAATGCAGCTGTAATGAAAAATAGACCACTTTGGAATTACAACAGGTACGAGGTGGTGAGAAAGATTTGGAAAGGCGTCATGGTGCCTGGCTTGACTTTTGGAAACGCAGTGCTATGCATGAAATCCGAAGTGCATGCGAGACCAGAAATAAAACAGCGCGGAGTAGGTAGTCTGGCTTTGGGGGCACATTGCAAAACGCCAAACCAGGGAGCACAAGGAGACATGGGATGGGCATCATTTGAGAGCAGGGAAGCGGTGAGCAAGATAGAATTTGAGGATAGGTTGAGGCAAATGGATGGGGAGCAATGGGCACGAAAGGTTTTCAGCTATTTATACATGAGGAGTGTAGACACAAAGTGGAGACAGTGCACTATGAAATTAAGAGGAAAGTTTTTGGGCTATAGCAAAGATACGGAAGAGCAAGTCTCAGTTAAGAAGAAAGTTAAGGCCACAGAAAGAGATCGGTGGCTAGAGGGAATGCAGACAAAGACGGCTCTGGAAAGCTATAGCTTAAACAAAAGAGTTATTGCCAAAGAAAGCATTTATGACAATTATAGGGGAAGCTCACCGCTCTTTGAGGCGAGGACGGGTGTTCTGCGAACCAGAACAGAGTGAAGTACCAGGAAATTGATACAGTGTGCACTGCTTGTGGAGAGGAGGACGAGACGGCTGAGCACTTGATACTCTACTGTAAAGGGCTTCACCCTATGCCTACCGAAGACAACATAGATTTAATAAAGTCATTGGGTTTTAGAGACAGCGAAGGGAGAGTGGATTTCAAGACTGTAGAGGTTACCAAGCAAAGATTAAATGAATGGTGGCAGAAATCGAGAGAAAACTAGGTATTTTCTTATTCACTGATGGCAAGGGGGTTTCATAGCCTCACTTTCTTTGCACTGCGGAGTGAATATAGATTTCACATTTAAATATTCTAAGCTTAAATGGTAAAACAAAATGGCTAGGTGGCGTAAGCTACCGCCCGATCCAAAGGGCTCAGCCGTATTCATCCATCCATCCATCCATTGCAGCTAGCTAGGCTTGGGTGGCGCTAGGTACCCGCCCAATTCATGTGCCACAACAAATAGTTTTATTAGCTCACACCACCATTGCGCTTCGGGCACCTTTATTATAAACACATGTAGATATATCACGCCTACCACAAGTATCCGCTGAACACATGCAATAAGCGCATGCACGTACACGGTACATACAAACATAAAAAGAACACCACACTAACCTGATTACTACTTCCGAGCTCTGCGTTTCCGCCTTTTATATAGACAACTTTTGCAGTCCGATAAGGCACATCAAGCAGCGCTCAAAGACGTTGAATTCGACATAATCCTACGCTTTGTTTTGAGTGTGCTTGATTAGTTTAACCTGTGATGAAAAGCACCGTGACGATGCCCTTTTGGTGGTACTTCATGGCTCATTGAATCGTAGTGACGGCTGTGTTTGGACTTAAAGGAGCTGTGCAACAATTTCAGGGTTTTGCTTAAATAATTGTGGAAGTTGATGCCTGACACTTCTGAGGTGAACTGCAGAAAACAGATTTTGTATGGAAAGCCTAGTTTTTATTTTTAAAAAAAATGAAAAAGATCCCGGTTTTTGCCACCTCTCAACTCGTGCATCGTCTTCCGGGTCACGTGCGCAGTGACGTCGATGGGGTAGGCGCGGGGCTCCGGTGAAGCTCTCTCTCTAGAGCCATCAGTGAGCAGCGAGAACTCATCCGCTCGCGACCGCGTGACCACGTGCTGGCGAGCGCAGTGCGAACAATATGGTGAAAGGAGGAAAGTCTCATCCGGGTCCAGCCATACCAATACCACCTAGAGCTGCCATACCCGTCCGGCCCTGTCCCCCTCCCCCTCCGGCCTCTAGCGGCTGTTCGCGGTAGCAGAGAGAACTGGCGGTGTTTTGGACCTAGGATAGATGGCGGCGCTAAAACTCCATATAGTAAAAGTTTTGTCGGTGATACCAGGTTTTTGACGCATTTATATTTATGTTGGAATGACAAGATTTATAGAAAAGTTACCTTTTATCGAGCAGGTATTCGCACAACTTGCTATCTGTCTACAAGACACCCATTGACGTCATGGCGCGTGTTTCTCATGGTCGCCGCTCGCGGCGATGAAAGGTGTGTTTTCCGTCATTTCGATGAAAGGAGGTGTGTTTTCCGTCATTTGTGACAAGGTGAACAACGTCAAAAGTAGAAGATGCCAATTCTTTCAACGTTAAAATCGTTGCACAGCCCCTTTAATGTAAAAACCGATCTATTTAGCCGAAAGGGATTGATCAGCCAACGTATATGGGGGCGATTTGTTAGGATGTAACGATGCCATAGCGAGATCCGGACATAACGTAACACGCCCATTTTATAGGGTCCATAAACTTCGATGGAATTAGTATTATTCGTGAGCATGTTGCCGATTACATCAGCGAACGGGACGGCGTCAAGGCTAACATAAACGATGTGTTCATCTGTTCCGGAGTAACCCATGGCACTGAGGTAAGCAGTTCTTCAATTTGACCGTATTTATTCCAACCAGCTGCAGTGTACCAAAAACCCGAACGCAGTAGGTGTGCTTTGGAGTAATATATGGTTCCATTATTTTAGTCCATGATTTTCGTTCATTAGGTTACATTAAAGCAAGAAAACCGCAGAGAAGACGTAAGAGTAATTTTATTATCAACCGACGCAAGGCTACCACACAGACGTATATGGGAAAACAAGTGTGCCTACCATGACAAGATTATCTCAGCTGAGATAAAACCATTCAACAAGAAGGTGTTTTTCCATCTCCACCCACTACTGTTACTTTGATAACATATCGAATATATTTTGGTTGATATTAATTTAAGGAAGTGTGGTAAAAAAAAAAAGTGGCGTTGACCTCCAACATTGGGTATTATTTGAGAGATTAGCGCTGTAACCATACTTTGTCGAAGTTTTTATATTGCCAGCTCAACAGAATAAGTCGTGTTTCGTAGATATGGACCCCGTTAATATGGATACCGCGTTTAATGGACACTATGTTCGAGGACAAACTGGGAAAATACATGCATTTTTGACTCGTTATTATGAACAATTCGCATTATCGACGATTTTTTGAGGGAACGGAGGTGTCATATTAACGAGACATCACTGTATCAGTAGGAAAAAAAATTCACTGTAATATTTGCCTTTCAATGTAAATTCTGTCGATCTTACTTTTTTGTTTTCTTGTCGTTGCTTGCGTTTTTATTTAAAAAGAATATTTGTTTAAGATTTTATATGCAGGGAACAGCTGTTTTATAATGTGCGGTTTAATTATGGAGTCTATCATTTTTGTGAATATGACACAATGTCGTTCGTGGTATTTTAGAGTTCTAAGATTTACATTAAAAAACTAAAATAATTTTGATTTTTTGAACAAAAATACGTGCGTTTTTTTCTTCAAGGTGCGCACGTTTTCACTTCAAAGCAAACAACTCGGTCGATTGTTGCGTGTATTCATACAAGGAGTTGTATATGCTTTCACGCGCTGTTGCGCCACTGTAAATGGGGGCCAAGGAGGTCATATATGCGCCAGTCGTATGTTCCTTTTTTTAGTAGTATCAATCTCTAATAAAAATTAAGATACTGGAAGAGGAAACGTTTTGTGAGCTCATCAAACGCACGCCCTCTTTTCCGCTCGACCGAGCCACCCGTCTATACTGGTGATGCTAGGCGTCTCGCACTGCCTATCAACGCACCCACTAAAATATTTTAGTGTTACGTCACAACATGGATAACTGAACTTTATCTATCAGTTCTGGTTGCTGTTACAGTTGGTGATGAGCGCGTTGAACGAACCCTCAAATGGAAAGCTACCCGGGGCAATGACCTGCATACCCCAGTTCATGAGGTACCACGCTTTGTTCAGGGATTTCGGCATTCACAAGGTACGAACGCTGTACTATCACTATATAGAGCGGGCTTTGTAACGACGTACCCGCCCAACTTCTGCTTTCACGTTCACCACGGCACCTGTACGAGGAATCTGTTTCGCGCTCCTACTGTGCCGCGCGTTGTGACTGTACTTCGTTTCATTAAACTCCGAGCGGAACTGACACTACGATTTCACGTGTCGTGTGAGGGAAAGGCGTAGAAGGAAAACGTAGAGCAGAGAGAAAATCGGAACGCACTTTTATGGCGCTTTTACTCTGAACTGCTTCTCTCTTCTCTCCCGCGTGAGTGTTTCCAATCGGGTGTTTTTTTACACCACATGGTGGGGCCAATCCAACAGGTGTACAAGTGTGGCCGTCATGGCACTCGTAGGTTTTGTGCGTTTGCTGAAAATGGCTAAACCAATTACACAAAGTGAGTGCGTCGTGATATTCCGCTTTTTGTTTTTCTTCTTCTTTAGAGTGGTTGGTTTAACCGGTCATAGGAAATGCTCAAAGGCCGATGAGCTTCTGGCACTGCTTCACTGGTAGGCCGCACTCTGTCTTAATATGGCACGTCGCATATGAAGATGTGGGAAACTTTGTCGAACCTAACGTCTGCTAGGCTTTCGTGCTGCTACCCGTAACACGTACCCCTTTACTGAATGTCACTGTTGCGAGCGGTGGCCCAACGTCCCCCACACGTACAATTCTGTGTTGGTTTTCGTCCGATGACATCGTACGAGAATCATGCTGTCGCCGGCCGAAATCCTCGCGTTGTTACGACAGTGGAGGTGTTACGTGACAAACGAACGTTCTGCTGCAGATCTCTCTCCAGCTTGATGGTCATGCACGGTCTTCAGCAGCCGGGTGTTGGGACGTTGCGACGACAGCGACACGCGCATTCCCTCGCGCTTTTTTCTGTCACTTCTAGTAGCAACAGCCAGGATCGCGACATCGGACAACATGACACGCCGGTTTCTGTGACGTCATTTTTTGTCCTTTCGAGACCGATTTTGGTGCAGGGAAGGGATACAACGCCAAACATGCCAGTCGAAGAGGCGAACCGGGCACTGTAGTTGCGTCTCCGCGCCTGGCTTAGTGCACCTGAATCAAAAATTGTATGGACAGAAGCGCCGAAGGACAGGGACAAAGTGAAGTAGGTAGCGACAACAGGGACCTCGCGGAGGTGATATGGCCAGAGATGTCTAACATGCGGGCAATCTGATCGAACATTTCGTGAAACCCAGGTGACCAGAGGTTCAGATTTGAAGCTCAAGGTTCGGTTTGTTCGGCAAACCATCGTAGAAAATGCCTCCCCCCCCCCCCCCCCCAAAAAAAAAAAAAAAAAAAAAAAAACAGCAACAACAACGACAAAATAAGTGTTTATTTTACCACAAAAATAAACTACGTATTGCCGAATGCTCATTCTCTGTCCAAATGTAGAGACAGCGGTTCAAAGCAGATGTCAAAGTTTCAGAAGTAATCGTTATCTTATTTAAAAAATAATCCCTGATTCTCTTACATGTTTAACGAAAAAATGGCGGCCGACGCGTGTCTCTTAAGTTTATGCAATCGAATGCCGCCAGTTACCAAAAACGGTCCCCATTTTACCATCAAAATTTTTGACGTTGTCATCTGGTTCGAACCATCAGCGCTACATTTGGACATTTGGCGGGCAATGTGCGTTTGGCAATGAACACATTAATTCTAAAGTAAAAAAGCAAGAAAAAAAAATTTTTTTTCGGTGGGACGCGTTGTTTTTTTTTTTGTTTTGTTTTTTCTAAGTTTGAGAAAGTTTGACTTGTACACAAACATTTAATCATGGGAAAATATGTTATTCAGTTCCTTTGTTTAAGTTAAAAAAAGCGTTTACAAACTTTCACGCTATATAAAAGCAAGCTGACGAACGTTTTATGATTTAGTTGGTTTTGTTTATTTTGGGGTGAAGAAAAAAGGGGGAAGCCCGGAGAGGCGTGGGCCTCCAAGTTTAATTGATGTTAAAAGTATACCAACTAAATATTGCATCTATCCTCTGCCAGGCAGTGCCAGCAGGTGCCTCAATGTACGGCGCACATGTGCATAATCGAACTTCATTTGCACTCGTTGCAAAACTTGCTTTTAAAGTTCTCGAAAGTCAAACCTGTGTGAAGTTGATTCTTGGCTGTCTCGCGACATCCATAGTTAATTGTGACCAATTTATGATGCTATTTTATTTTAACCTTTGGGAATACGACGATATGGTGAGAAATGCGACCAGCTGACTTGGCTAGTCATTTTAACGCCTCTTGAAGTTTGCGATTTTTATCACAAGCCCGTGCAGATATCTGGCCTAAGCCAAAGTTTTAGCGAACGCATTTATTTCTTTTCTTCGTCAGTGCCATATATTGTGAAACTCCACAATCGATCGTAGTGGCTGCAGTCTGGCGTAGTGGCTGCTGATCGAAGTGTACCCCAAGACCGCTACACTTTTTATTGATGTTTGATTTGTTTCGCAGATTGTTTACCATCTCGACGAAGATAAAGGGTGGTCTCATAGCATCTCCAGAATGCAGAGTGCGCTCGATGCGTCCCGTGCATCTTGCGAACCGCGTTTTCTGCTCGTTGTCAATCCTGCCAATCCAACAGGTAAATACTCTATAGTTCAGATTTGGGATAAGGAAAGGTCACGCGACTGATGACTCGAAAAAGGAATCAGATTATACGATGCAGTGCTCGGACAATTTTACGATTGTGTATGCAGTACCTGTTGTCTCAACAAGACACTAGGACAAGTGATCAAAAAGGCCGGAGCGGTGAAACTCTGGGAGTGAGATCACGACCGTGCTGTTTCTACATTGTAGTCTACTGAGTGCCTCGTCAGGCGGTCATCACTTGACAATGTGTTGTTGTTGTTTTTTTTAACCCAGAATGTGTTAGAGGACTACGTTCCACGAAGTACGCGAAACGTTACGCTTCCGACTCCCACTGCCTAAACATGCGCGTGGCTGGGCCTCGTGTTCCGTCAAAACCGAGCTTTAGTAGATCGCTTCAATACCTCCCATAACGAACCAAATGCTTTACTTTTCTCCATTTCACCTTATGAGTATTCTAACGAAATTGCACCGCCCGGGACAAAACGGACTCCATATTTTTTTGTGAACAAAGAACAAGTACTGTTTATTACGATTTGGCTGACCTCTTGCAAAGGATGGATGGATGGATGATATTGGCTATGCCCTTTCAGCTTGCGCCCCCTAGCCTGAGAAAATGCTTTCCTCTCCCGCTTAAATACCCAATTCCTTTCCCTCTACATCTCACAACTATCACCGGGCCGGAGGATTGAACCACCAGGCTGACCTTTGGGAGATCGGGAAAATACAAAATAAAAAGAAAAAAGGAAAACGCCCACCGCTTTCTCCCCTCGGCGAGGGAGTCGCCAATTTTCCTCTGGTCAACCTCGTTGGGGTTCTTTCCAAGACTCAGACCCACTGAGAGACTTGGTTGAGACTTTGGGCCCAAACCACGGGAGGGAGTTCCGATTTTCCAGCCTTCTCTGTGTCGATCCAGTTGTGCCAAGTGCTTTTACCAATTTCAGTTTTCCCTAATCTCCCTCCATCAATGCTCTAACCTCCGTTTCGTTACCTCAAACCTTTTATAACCCACCCTTCCATCTTCTCCAACGAAACCCGGGGCCCCCTCTACGTTTGTTCTCCCCTCAGGGGGGAAGGGAGGGGGGGTTAAGCTTTGTGCACCTCAAAACCAGGTGCTCCATAGTTTCGCTCTCCATTCCACATATGCAACAAACTGTATCTATATCTTCGATTTTTGCACTATGAATCTTCGTAGTACCCAGTTCTGGCCTCAAACGGTAAAGAGCTACTACGAGAATGATCAGTTTTCTTATTTCCTGTTTTTGTAACCTATACATAGTTAAAGCTGATTTCCCCCTCCTGCATACTTCCTTCCCACTTCTCTCTCTCCGTATTTTTAACTCTGTTTTCAACTGACTTCGTTTCACAGCCCGCCTGTGAAAATTTGTTTCCGAGCTTTCGAGTCCGTTTCGTCCAATTTTTGCTCAAGCTTTTTTTCATGTATAGAAACTTCTATACCCTAGCTGCCCACCTCATCTGCTCCATATCAATTAGCCTTTGGTCAAACCTTACTTGTTGCCTCTCTACTTTCAAAGGACTCCCAACCCATATTCCCCTGTACCCCTTCATTCGGTGTGTTACCATATGCCCCTAAAGCTAACCTGCCTTCACTCCTTTGCCATACCTCTAAGCTTGACGTACTTCAGATTTCACACACAAGACTGCGTTACCGAAAGCTCTGGTTCATTACTCCTTTCCATACCCCCCTCACAACTTCGTATTTATTGAAGTTCCACAGTGCTTTGTGTTTCATAAAAGCCGAATTTCTTTTTCCATTTTTTTATTACAATATCTTCATGTTCATTCAGATGTTTTCTTCCCTCATTTGACCATACACCCAGGTGTTTCTACTTTTGTTGGTGTTCTATCACTGTGTGTTGCATCTCCAGATGTTTCCGCTTCGCGTCGTTACAAACTAGTGTCCCAGACTTGTCCCTACTAAAGTTAAAGTTTAAAGTATCCCCTTCCCCGCCACGAATTCTAATTAGTGTCTGCGTTATCTCTCGACTCTCTGATACAAGTACCATGTCATCTGCATACATCAGCCCTGGTAAAACTTGATTTTCTTTTTCCCTCCCTCCATGCAAGTCAGATCAAATGCTAAATTGCATTGCTCTAATTTGTTTTCAATTTTACTAAGGTATGTCATAAAGAGCAGGGGCGACAATGGGCATGCCCTGCCCAAGTCGTTTTATTGCTGCTTGTTTTGTGGTTTCGGCTTCCTAAGTTATACCTACCCTGTTATCTGCCTATATCTGTTCTAGAAACTTAATTAAATTTTCATTTAGTTCATATCTTTTCAGTTGATCCCAGAGTTTGAGGTAACCTTTGTGGTAATCTCGCTCTATTAATAATCGCCGCCCGATCGGTATGCGCTTCACTCGTCTCCCAAGGAGTCACACAACAAAACGAGAAGACAGCGAATGGGCTTACTGTACTTCCCGGTTGCCCGTCCTCGAGAGCCGGCACTCCGGGCCCGCCGACCCTGGTTGTCGCCCGTCGTTCAGAGCTCGCAGTCGCAGTCCGTGTCCAGGCCTGCGGATCGTCCTTCCCGCGCCAACTCTTCGTAGGCTAGCTGTCTCGGGTTATCACAGCCGAGTCTCACCGCAGAACCACTCCGGGATCGTCATGGCCCAGCCCGGTATGGCCAGGGCTCGGCGTTACCGCCGGTCTTGGTCGGAACCTCGCGTGTGGACCGCTCCGGGGATCGCCATGGGCCAGACCAGCCAGAACGGCTCCATCGTTCCTGCCCGGCCCCAGCCTCTCCCTCTCACCCCGTACGCCCTCTGCTCCGCCGAGTGGGCTGTACCTAGCATCCGGCTGGCGTGCAAACTCTGTTTAAAATCGCGTCATTTTGGAAATTTCAAGCGCAGATGCGCATATTTTGGTATGCCAGCTATCGTGTAATACTATGCTAGTGTGAGGAGGTTCGATATTTTGAGGTCAATCTCTATTTCAATACATTAAATTATTGACGAGGCAAGTACTGGTTTTGTGTAAACTTTTGTAGTTCCGTTGAAAAACAATAGCGACACAAGTCTAAAGAAAATCATGAGGTACGTTACGGGATATATAGTTCCCTTAGGGTAGTCATAAAACAACTAATTGATGAGCCACTGAATAATAAATGCGAGTCTCAAGTCAAAAAGGTTTGTGGAGATCAGAGTGTAACACTTCACTTCACATGACAACGACGGTGGTGACGTTGTGGCAACGATGTGGTGATGTGGCGTTCTGGCAACGAAGTGGTGATGTGACGTTCTGGCAACGAAGTGGTGATGTGGCGTTCTGGCAACGAAGTGGTGATGTCTTCCATGGTCGGTGCAGCCGTCCGGGACAACGGAACATCGTCTTCACGATACGGCCCGGTTGTCCCTCGCAGTTACGCCCAGTCGTTTCTGTTGGCGTCGACGGCTCCCAAGACAACCCCCAGTCCGCTGTCGCCCTCCTTGTTCCAGTCACCTCTTCTTTTTCTGCCTGTTGTCTCGTGCTTCTTTTCTTCCCGAATCCCGTCTTCTTCTTATTTCTTGCACCTCGTTGAAATGTCTGATCACAGTTCACCACAGCTAGATAAAAAGACTAACAGGGTCCAATGGACCTTTTCCGAGAAGCGTTCTGCGCACGCGCGAGCGCCCGATGCCAAGCGGCGGAAGTCGGAACGAAAAATCGAGGAAATTCGGAAGGAGGCTGTATATCAGCGAGTAGAACACGTAACTGCAGCATATATATAATTGTGTTACACAAAAAAAGAACGTCGACGGAAAGGAAAACACGACGTTTGGGTGGACGCCACGGATGCCCCTCTTTCAAGTCGCGTTGGGCAGGCGCCGCTGCTCAGAGAGCGAAGAAACTGGTAGCGTAGTTCCCATTATCGATTGGTAGCGCAGGTAGGTCACTTCCTCGATTTTTAGTTCGTGCAGCCACCGCCTGGTGCCGTCGGTATGTGGAAAAGGTCCATTGCGCTGTCCACTGCGTGCAAATAAAAAACGAAAATAGGGAAAACTGTGTCAGATTGGCCGGTCTCTCTGGCGAAAAGTAAATCCGGTCGCTGTACCTTTTTTTACTCTACAAAGTTCGTGCTGGTGTAGGCCTTTAGCGACCATGAGTGGAAGTCTGAAATAATAAAGAAAAACGTGCTCTCCTCCCGCAATACACGCAGTAGTTGAGGGTAGTACTGCCGGCTGACTCAGCTGCTCTTTAAGTAACGGAAAACAATATTCTAGTTGATCATTTACCGAAATAGAACAACAGAGAGCTATAGGCTGATTTTAGAGTAACGATAAGTATTCTAAGAAAGCGAACCACTTCACAACGGCAGCCAGGAGCGAGAGTTCGATGTTCCGTACAGCCCGCCGGTACAGCCCAAAGATGGAGAATGGCAAACTCCCGGTTTGTCGTCTGCTAGCGGAGTCGGGCGCGTGCCCTATCTCTCGTTTTACCCCGCCGAACCCGCTGAATTTCCCGGATGTATGGAGAGGGCGCTGTTGTCTAACAAAATGGTGCCGCCCCAGAGAGGTGGTCTCCGTTTCAACCTATTCCCAATACAACCTTCCCGTTTGTACCTTCCCGTTTCGACCCGGCTCAAAACGACCTTCTCGTTTCATCATTTCGCCCTTTCCCGAAACAGCGTTCCCGCTTCGGCCATCATTCGGTTCGTTTGTATTGTTCGTTAACAGTTGATTAGGTTCAAGTGTCCTGTGTCTGTTCTCCTTGCTCACATCACTTCTCCCTCTCCCAAAACAACCTCGGAGACATGGCAGAAAGATAAACGCTCACCCGAACATTTACAAGTTCATCGACCTGCAAACGGGATGAGGGCCTTGACAAGGATATCGCCGCAGCAGCTTGCAAATGGTAGTGCCGTGCGGGCCAGGTGACCGCCGCGAGCTATCACAATTGGAGTGTCGCCTTTCTGATGGCGCGATTTTCCTGCTCGACTTCCTCAACTCAGGCGATAGCATTTTGTGGTTTATGATTTTTGCCCGTGTACGCGAC